AGTTTCATCTCAGGTTAAAATATAATATTTTGTAAATGTAATATATAAAATGATAATTAATATATAAATTTATTAATGTAATTTTTCATAATACATATCAATTTAATATTATATCAGACCTAAATAAATATCTTGCTAACTAAAATCTTCATTTATATATGAATTGTGATAATATAATATATATTATCATAGATATATTATATATATTGTATATATAAATTCCTGATAATATGATTGAGTATTTAAAATGAATTATATCTAGCAAACAAATATTTTTATATAACTATTATAATTAATATGATTCAAATTATCACATTTTATTAAATATGAACATTTCACTATACAAATTTTAGCCTGTTAATAAGGTCAATGATTTAAAATGAATTATATCTAGCAAACAAATATTTTTATATATCTATTATTATTAACATATAATATGATTCAAATTATCACATTTTATTAAATATGAACATTTTACTATACAAATTTTAGCCTGTTAATAAGGTCAATGATTTAAAATGAATTATATCTAGCAAACAAATATTTATATATATATATATCTATTATAAATGACAATATAATATGATTCAAATATATTTTATTCGATATGATAATTTTAGTTATCAGGATATGATTTTGGCCTCAAATGAAGTTATATTTAAATATATTTTGAATAAATTTATTATTTATTTTATTAGGTATACCTACAACAAATTTTTTGAGATATTATAAAAAATATAAAATGGCTGGCTGCCCAAGATAGGCCAAGATAATAAACAAAAAATTTTTGATGATGATGAAGAAAATAAAATTTTTGAATATCTTATTTCATGTAGTAAAACGTTTTATGGTTTATCTGTTAAAAAGGTATTTAAAAAAATTTAATATTATATTTATATATTATTAGATAAAGATTCAAGCATATTATCATGCTATTAAAAAATACCCAAATCATGGACAATTAATAAAATGGCCAGTGAAGAATGGTTTTCTTCATTTATGAGAAGAAATCCAAGATTATCTCTAAGGCCTGAGGCCACTAGTCTAGCTCGAGCTGCTGGTTTTAATCAAGAAACTGTTCAATATTTTTTTAATCTATATAAAGGAATACTGGATCAACATGAATTAAGACCTATGTCAATTTATAATATGGACGAAACTGGCCTGACAAATGTGCAAAACCCATCAAAAATTGTTGCGCAGAAGGGTCAGAAACAAGTTGGAGCCATCACTTCTGCAGAGCGAGGCACTTTATTAATAATGGCGCTGGCTGTTAACGCTTTAGGGAATTATATTCCCCCCCCCCCATGTTTATTTTTCCACGTAAAAAATTTTATAATCATATTATAAGAGACGGTCCTCAAGGATGTATTGGTGTATCCAACGGATCTGGATGGATGCAAGAAGATGAATTTCTTTTTTTATATCACATTGTTTATAATACCAGATGTAGCCAGAAATTTAAAATTTTGCTAATTTTGGATAATCACATATCCCATCAATCATATCAGCTATTCAATATTGTATAGATAATGGTATTATACTTTTATCTCTTCCTCCACATTGTACTCATAAATTACAACCCTTAGACAGAACAGTATATGGGCCTTTAAAAAAATTATATAATAATGGGATAGATTCGTGGATGCGAAATCACCGTGGGATCTCTTTTTCCCTTTATGATATTCCCTCTATTATAAAGGATATTTTACCTTTGGCAGCCTCCTCTAAAAATATTCAAAAAGATCCTTTATAATAGAGGGAATATCATAAAGGGAGAAAGAGATCCCACGGTGATTTCGCATCCACGAATCTATCACATTATTATATAATTTTTTTAAAGGCCCATATACTGTTCTGTCTAAGGGTTGTAATTTATGAGTACGATGTGGAGGAAGAGATAAAAGTATAATACCATTATCTATACAATATTGAATAGCTAGATATGATTGATGGGATATGTGATTATCCAAAATTAGCAAAATTTTAAATTTCTGACTACATCTCGTATTATAAACAATGTGATATAAAAAAGTAAGAAATTCATCTTCTTGCATCCATCCAGATCCGTTGGATGCACCAATCCCTGAGGACCGTCTCTTATAATATGATTATAAAATTTTTTACGTGGAAAAATAAACATGGGGGGAATATAATTCCCTAAAGCGTTAACAGCCAGCGCCATTGTTAATAAAGTGCCTCGCTCTGCAGAAGTGATGGCTCCAACTTGTTTCTGACCATTCTGTGCAACAATTTTTGATGGGTTTTGCACAGTTGTCAAGCCAGTTTCGTCCATAATATAAATTGACATAGGTCTTAATTCATGTTGATCCAGTATTCCTTTATATAGATTAAAAAAATATTGAACAGTTTCTTGATTAAAACCAACAGCTCGAGCTATACTAGTGGCCTCAGGCGATCTTAGAGATAATCTTGGATTTCTTCTCATAAATGATGAAAACCATTCTTCACTGGCCATTTTATTAATTGTCCATGATTTGGGTATTTTTTTGTTTAATTGAATAGCATGATAATATGCTTGAATCTTTATCTAATAATATATAAATATAATATTAAATTTTTTAAAATACCTTTTAACAGATAAACCATAAAACATTTTACTACATGAAATAAGATATTCAACAATTTTATTTTCTTCATCATCATCAAAAATTTTTTGTTTATTATCTTGGGCATAGTGCCAGCCATTTTATATTTTTTATAATATCTCAAAAAATTTGTTGTAGGTATACCTAATAAAATAAATAATAAATTTATTCAAAATATATTTAATTCTATATTTAAATATAACATCATTTGATCTTATTATCAGGCCAAAATCATATCCTGATAACTAAAATGTTCATATCCAATAAAATGTATTTGAATCATATTATATTGTCAATTATAATAGATATATATATAAATATTTGTTTGCTAGATATAATTCATTTTAAATCATTGACCTTATTAACAGGCTAAAATTTGTATAGTAAAATGTTCATATTTAATAAAATGTGATAATTAGAATTATATTATATGTTAATTATAATAGATATATAAAAATATTTGTTTGCTAGATATAATTCATTTTTTTTAAATCATTGACCTTATTAACAGGCTAAAATTTGTATAGTAAATTGTTCATATTTAATAAAATGTGATAATTTGAATCCTATTATATGTTAATTATAATAGATATATAAAAATATTTGTTTGCTAGATATAATTCATTTTAAATCATTGACCTTATTAACAGGCTAAAATTTGTATAGTGAAATGTTCATATTTAATAAAATGTGATAATTTGAATCATATTAATTATATCTCTTCTTTTCTCTTCTTAAAAATATTTGTTTGCTAGATATAATTCATTTTAAATACTCAATCATATTATCAGGAATTTATATATAGAATATATATAATATATCTATTATAATATATATTATATTATCACAATTCGTATATAAATGAAGATTTTAGTTAGCAAGATATTTATTTAGGTCTGATATAATATTAAATTGATTATGAAAAATTACATTAATAAATTTATATATTAATTATCATTTTATATATTACATTTACAAAATATTATATTTTAACCTGAGATGAAACTTTTCTTGATGAGATACCATTTCCATACAGTTTTATGGCTTCTTCATAGTCCTCTTTAGTAAAAATTTTTCTGTTTTGAATTTTGCGGATATATTTACGTACCATTGTATTATAAAAATTAATTGATTGATTGCCCCGACAAGCAACGATTTAACTAACCTCAATGGTAGTAATATTACTAATATGATCTTAACATATATTTAAGCATTAGATATCAATCTGAATCTTTCCCAAATATTAAAATAGATATTTAACTTACATATAATGTCTATTTTGTCATGTTTAAACCTTTAATTTTTAAATACAACCTAATAATATTAAGTGAAAATATTGTAATTTTCACGTCAAAAACATGTCATAAAAGATAAAAATTTAAATAGCTAAATATTATAAATCATTTTCATCCCCAAATATCGATATTATAGAATTCTACTTTATAATAAATTTCAATTCTTAATCGTTACTGGTTTTAAAATAAAATCCTTTGAACCGACAAGCCCCTTGCACCGACTAGCTTTTGTCTCTCCCCTATTATATGTAAACAGGATTATAAAAATTTTCATAATTCTGAAGATTGGTTTCAATGTAAAGTTTGTAAAGGTTGGGCGCATGGGTCATGTGCTGATTGTTATTTTATTTGTTATAATTGTAAATAAAACATTATATAAATAAAAGCATCATAGTTATATATTAAAATGTGAAAAAAATTTTTTTTTGCCTTATAAGAAGCCTAATAAACTACTTAATTCTACTAGCCCCATCGATCATCCGACTAGCCACGGGTTCGGGGCTACTATTTTTAGAGAAGAAATTATTAAATATTTAAAAAATATAACAGTATATATTTATAGTTAGATGTTTAAGGTATCGATTGGTATTTTGTAAGATCTTATACGATCATTATTTTCAGAGCTATGATGATTTTGACAAAAATTGCGCCGACTAGCCCTGGTCTCCCCTACATAGTTTTATCTAAAATCTAATCTTGTATTGATACGTTATTAACAATTATGTAGTTTTTAAGATATGTTTAGTTAAATGGAGACAGGTTTAGTTAAATAAAGACAGATAATAGTAATAAAATGCCATTTTTGACACTTTAAACCCTAATATCTACAAAAAAATAAATGTTAGAAGGCTAAATATTTGGGTATTTTTTAGTTGAATTCATTTTTCATTGCTTGCCAAATTTAAAAAAGTGGGTGAATCAAGGCTGATTTGTCATGGAGAATACCATTCACGAATATTCATCAAATAAAGATAATAAGCAATCTACTAATGACTAGTATTTTTTAAAATATGGATATTAGAATTGACATATTTCTAGCTGTTATCATGGATTTATTATAAATGAATGTATTTGTTATCTATTATACTAAACTAAGGATCAAGTTAAAAATATGTTCAAGAGCAGTCCTAATGAAGGTTATCCCATCAAATTTTCCAAGAACATCATGTCTGGAGGCGTTGCTGGCTCACTTTCTTTATTATTTGTCTACTCTTTGGATTATTGCAGAACAAGGTTTCATTATTTTTATTAATATTGAAAAACATAATGAAATTAAAAATTTATAATTTATCCTATTTATTTGTGAGATAATTTATTATCATTATTATATGAATTTAGTTTTAAATTTATCCTTACTCAGTTTCAAAAAACTATTATTTTTACTATCACGAATAAAATTCTTTTTTTTTAAACAGCAAACGGTGTTCCTTTTATTTTCAGAATATTTTCATGTGAATTTTTTAACACTAATTTTTTTGATGTTCATTCAGTTAAAGATAAATTTTTCATCTAAAATTATTCTAAAATTTTTTACTTAGCTGCTTCCTTCAGGTATCTTTGACACGCCATTTCTGACGAATGTTAACTCCCATTTAATTTTAAATAATTTAAATTAAAGCTTTGTGTCATTCCATATCAAATCAATCACTTTACAACCCGACCATCTCAGATTTTGCTGAAATTTGGTATATAAGTTAATGAAGTGTTGTAATAGACGAATATAAAATATTAGCCCCTTATACTAGAACCGGAGATATAGGATCCAAAGTAGCTTTGCGAAATCATTTTTCGAAAAAAATGATTTTTTAAAATCGGAATAACTTTATGTAATATATTTATCAATCATGGCTCATTTTATAGCCCTAAGTAAACTCTTCCACATATTTTAAATGGAATTAATTTTTAATTTATAAAATTTTTAATTAATTTTTTTAAATGTTAGTATAATTTTTTTTTTACAATTTTCAGATATTTTGTAAAGAGTATCAAGAACTGTTCCTATAAAAATTTTCAGAATAATAAAAAAGAATTAATTAGAAAAAATTCATAAAATAAAAAACCGCTAGATGGCGTTAATAATTAGCTTAAAATTTAATTTTTAAAAATATAAGTCAATCTATCTTTTATTTATATCCTATAATATAATATTTGTTGAATAAAATCGCATTTTGGCACAAAAATAAGATTTCCGCTAGATAGCGAAATTAGAGGTGGGCGCGGGCCTAATTTTTCATTCACGGCCCGCCCGCTCACGGTGGCAATAAAAAATATCACGCCCATTCAAGCTTATTACTAAAAAAATTTCGACCCGACCCGTCCGCTCACGACAAGCAATATTTTGATTCACGCCCGTCACGCCCGAAAACTTATGGTGTTTTTAAATTTTTTAAAACTATTGCTATAATTTTACACTTTTTTGAATTCATTCTATTTATTTCTCTAATTTCATAATCCATAATAATAACAAAAAATAAATATAATCTATAAATCGAAATTTATTTAGAAAAAGAAGAATGTCAATTTTTTTTATTTCAATTGTTACGCCTTTTCTCCAATAAGAGATTGGTTACAGAATATAACCTTTCACTAGAAGCTGAACTTGTCGGGGCTGACAAAATTACTCGCTAATTTTCTCAAAAAAGGAAATGAATATTCCTGCTTCCAAAACTTCAAAATATTGTCTTGATATTTATCTTATATGAATCTTTTAAGTTCATCCTCATAGCTTCCATCGTAATGTTGATACTTCATCAGAATCATCTATAAATTCTTTATAATATACGGTCTTTTATGAGTGTAGTTGAATTAGGAAAGTGATAGTTGGTATTGATCATTTAGAATATACGGTTTTTTATGAGTTTAAGATAAGTTAGGAAAGTTATAAATGATAGTTGGCATTGATTTATGCATATCATCTAATTTTATATCATTTAGCATTTTTAAGATTGTTTTATAGTTTTCTTCTTTTATTAAAAACTTATGTCTTTTGAAATTCTGATCTAGAATTAAGTCTACCTTGCTGCATAATAAACTTTTAAAAGAAATCTTGTTCTGTATTTTAAGGTTTTGATTATTATTGTATCATGCACAGAAGGTTTTAAGATTTTATTAATTTTTGTTTCCATAGACATGCTCTCAGATTATCTGAGCATTCTTATAAATATTGGTAAAAATTTATCTAACTCGCTTATGATGCTGATATCAATTTGGCTAATCTATTTAATTCTTACTTGCTAAACAAGTACACCTGTATTTCAGAATATGATTTTAAGAAACTCTGTATCATGATATATACAGAGTTCCATCTCTATTCTCGCTATTACATCTTGTTTAAGGGTGTGGCTTAGTTTGCTATTAGCTGTAGATTGTTCGAAATATTTTAATATTTTTTTACACCATTTATATTTAAGGCTATTTCAGTTAAACAATTGTCAAAAATATAATGCATAATATTATTTAGTATATGACATATACATGCTAGCATTTCGTCATCTTTGAATGCACTTATAAGATTTGCTCCGTTATCACACAACTATACATTTATTTAAGTAATTTTCTGCTTCTGTATATTCTCCTAAAATTGAATTGACTACACTTATAATTTTGACGTTCTTTTCATCCATTGCCTTTGTGGCCAAAACAAATGTTTTTAATTAAAATTCTTAATGATAATATATCCTATAATGGTTAAAAAACTTAGATTTTTATAGTCATCCGTCCAAATATCAGTGATTATCGACAAGTAATTATAGGGTAAATTATTTAAAAAAAATAAACAATTAAAATAAAATAACAATATGTTTTTTTATTTTTGCACAACCCTCAAAAAATAAATGACAATCAAATATATAATATATAACAAAACAGATTTAAAAAAAAATACATACGGTAATTTTTTTGCATTTACAATTTTTATATAATTTAATTTTTTTTATAAAATACATACGGTAATTTTTTTGCATTTACAATTTTTATATAACTTAATTTTTTTTATAAAATAGAGTTTAATATTTTTTTCAAATGTTTAATATATACGACAAATTTTATCTAGTAATACAAATTCATTTACATTAAATCCTGATCCTGTTTTATCTAATTCAAATTCAATATCTAATATTACAAATAATTTCCATATTATCAATTCTTCCTCTGTAAGTGGTGATTTTATTACTGATCCAACATCGGCTATTCCAAGAAGAAAATATACTAACTGGAAAAAGGAAAAAATTACTCGATAAATTTTTTTTGGAGTGTTAAAAAACAAATATAGGTCGATCAATCCCCGACCAAATACTCGAAACGAAATAATTAATAATGTAACATCAATTCTTAATGAATTTACTATTCCTTTTGATTTTTCAAATTATTATAATAAAATGCATCAATTTTTGGAGATTGGTTATCGAGGACAACCAATGAATTAAGGTAAATTTATAAAAATATAATTTATATTGAAATATATTTTAAAGGAATTTAGAAAAAGGTATATATATAAAGAAAAAACGAAAATTAAAATATCCAATTTTTAATGTATTTTTTAAATCTGTTTTGTTATATATTATATATTTGATTGTCATTTATTTTTTGAGTGTTGTGCAAAAATAAAAAAACATACTGTTATTTTATTTTAATTGTTTGTTTTTTTTAAAATAATTTACCCTATATTATTGATCATGCTTTTAATCTTAAATTTTATTTCATGGTATATTTTTGGACCTATAGTATTCATGAAAGTTTTCCGATTCACAACTTTTTTATTTTGTTATCCATATGTAACACCAACATTTATCTCTTGGCCTAGCTTGTAAAATTCTTCACTTTCTGTTGCATTTAAAGATTGAAGATCTTTACAAATAAAATATAACTGACTTTTCTGTAAAAAGTTTAAGCAAAATTTAGCATAAAATCTCGCGATAAAAAATACCTAAACATAAAAAGAAAATAGAACTAACGAAATACCGGATGTTGTTTATAAAATGCGGAAGATTTTTACTTTTCATAAATTATTCTTTTTTAAAAAAGAACTAAATTAAATAAGAAAATATATAATATAATTATAAAATTGCAAATTTATATTTATAAAACAATTTTAAAAATTAAAATTTCCGTGATTCACGGGAAATTTATGTTCACGCCCGAAGAAAATTTTGGGAAGGCCCGTCACGCCGAGTCACGCTTGGAATTTAAAATTTATTCACACTCACGCCGGTAATTTCACGGCCCGTGTCCACCTCTAAGCGCAAGTATTCTAAAATAGATAAATATGATTTAAATAATTATCGATTTTTCGATTTATTTTCCAAACAAATTTTTCGAATCCAGTTGTCTATTTTTACAAGAATTTTATCTATTTTTAAAATTAATTAATACTATTTAAATTTGAATATCATGATTTGTAAAAATCCTTTTAATATAAAAAAGCATTTATCAAAGAAGGGACTCTGTAAGGTATGTCCATGTATGTCTGAATTTTCTAATATCATCATTGGAGATTGCGTTTGCCGCATACATCAAAATGTTAAATTATTACTAATAGTGAACAATTTAGCAACCTTAACAAAAAATTAGATTTTGAGATAAAGACTTATAGGGTCATTCCATGTCAAATCAATCACTTTTCGGCCGACCCCTTTCGATTTCGATGAAAAATCGTAGGCTGGTTATATATGTTCCCATTAGATTATAAACAAAATTTTAGCGCATTAGCAACTATATTAGCGGAGATAATCGGGGTTAAAGGTCCAAAAAACGTCTTTTTTTGCTTTTTACTGATGTCAAATAATTAGTTTTTAATTTAAAACTAAATATGATCAAATATTGAATATAATATCAATAGCTAAGTTAATAATTGATGATTATGGCGAAAACATCAAAATTAATTTTTGATAAAATATGGGTCATCTTATGGTCAGTTGAAAACTTGAAATTAATATTTCGAAATGTATATGATCTCCGATTTTTAATTTTTTTAAGAAATATTATCCGTTTACTATTTTTTTAATAATTTCTTCAACAATTAGCATGGCTGGATATTTATTTTAAAAAATATTGCGATTTTTATACTTTAAAAAAAATAGATGGCGCTATATATAATAGTTTTAATATGTTAAAATTCATTTTTTTTATTGATTAAAAATAATTTAATGTATATATATCATACTAAATCGATTACAATGTCCATTATATATTTTTATTTGTAATTCAGATCATAAATTTTTAAAATCTTCACAAAT